AGGCGGGGCCAGGTACGTACGTTCAGTTAGAGCAGAGCTACAGATTAAAAATGCCCAAGGCAAAGTGGTCAAAGTCTGGCTGTACTTCACAGCAAAAGATGCAAACTCAGCAGCAACAAGTGCTTTAAGCTGATACTGTGATACTGTCAAAGGAGGTAACACCTCAAATTCGATGAAACACCTGGCGACGCATAGCGTTTTTTTTAAAAGCCCAGAAATGCGCCGTATTTGATAGCTTGCTGCGAGACCTCACACCGAGCACATCTACTGCGGGTGTGGTGCCTGTTATCGACCCGGAGTTAGCAACATCCCCCAAAAACCCGAAGAGGAGAGTCCTGGCCCCTAGCCCTGCCAGTGTAGCAGAAATGATGAGGATGATGATGCAGCAGCAGCCGTTCTTCTCTGAGTGAGTAGCTTAATGTTGTTCGTGTGTAATTTACGTTGAGTAGGCTAACCACGTTATTACATTAATGCATGTAAGGTGAACTAGCAAACATCATCATGGCTACATGCGGCTGTCCTCTTGTTTGATGGCAGATACTCCCTTCACCCTGGCCAAAAAGGCTAAAATGACCAAAGAAAAAGTGGAAAACAGTTAAACATGAGAGGTTTTTGGACAAAGTTTGTGTTTTTTCCATTGTGTAAGCACTGCTTCCAGCCAAGAGTGATACCATATATGCCCCATAGCTGCAGAAAAGGCTAACATTGTTATCTTTTTACAAAAAAACAGCTGAACATGAGAGGTTTTAGGACCAATTTTGTGTTCTCCATTCTTTAAGCACCGGCAGCGTTTCAAAAGTACCGGTTTGGCACCAGTATCGGACAAAACCTAAACGATACCCATCGCTACTCGGGGGTGTTGATTCATTTAAACTAAGATAATCTTCCTGCTGCAACCAGGTTTCTGTAAGGCAGAGTAAATTGATTTGTTGATCAATTATTAAGTCATGTACTAACAGAGACTTGGAGGAGAGAGACCTAATGTTTAATAATCCACATTTCACTGTTTTATTCTGCGGTGCAGATGTGGATACTGTATTGTTCTGTCTTTGGGATTTTTTTTTGTTTAAATCATTTTTTGCTGGTTTTTAGTTTGTTTTTTGTCTGTTTGGGAGCTGACACAGTCTCTATGGGGATGGTGTTTTGGGAGAAAACAGGAGGAGTTAAGCTGCAGAGAGGCGTGTAAGACTGCAACTCAGCTTCCTGGTCCCAACTCTGGATAGTCAAGTTTTAGGGGCTTTAATAAATTTAGGCAGGTTTCTAGAAATGAGAGCTGCTCCATCCAAAGTGGGATGGATGCCGTCTCTCCTAACAAGACCAGGTTTCCCCCAGAAGGTTTGCCAATTATCTATAAAGCCCACATTGTAGGGAGCTAATTACTGACACTTGTTTCTGTGATTTTGTACTTCTTGTCACTAAACATAATAGTGATCTATGGTCACTACTTGTCACGGCCATAGACTGACCAGTAAATTAAGAGCTTCAGCTGTCATTTTACCATAACATTATAATACAGCATCATCTTTACTGTAGATCCCGTGCCACTTTCTTTCCATCTCATGCTCAACTTTTCCTTAGCTAATGAACAACAGCCAGAGAAAGCTGAACTTCTCCTGAGGCAGTGAGTCATCCCAACCCGGAGTGGGTACTCCATTCCTTTTTGACTGAAAATCATGATGTCAGACTCAGAGGGGCAAATTCTCATTCCAGCCATTCACTCTAATACTGCTAGTTGGTGATCATTCTCAATGACGCTAAGATCATTCAAAAACCAAATATGTGATGTCTTTGTGATAGTTACAACAAACTAAGATATCTCTGATTAAGAAACTAAATTGCAGTTTAAACTGAAACTTCTGATTCAACAAAATGAGGGGCACACAGCCAGTGTCGAGAGTAATCATAAGTGTGTTTGATTTTGTGAGTTGTCAAATCGGCACGCTTTCTAAAGTCTGGATCCACGCTGCCAGCTCAGGATATCCAGAGGACATTTCATGAAGTTATTTATCATCATTTATAATCATGGATTAACGGTTCTAATTAGCATTCAAATTAACATTTAAATGAGTAAGATAATGTACCTGGTGAGCTCAAATTATCCCTCACAATGCATGAAACATCATGCAGCAATATAATCTGGAACAACTTGTTCAGTCAATGGAAAGAGGGCTTGTATAATTCTCCAGTTATAAACATTGTGGAGTAGTCTTGTGAAGCTGATGACTGAAGCAGAGAGAAGGAACAAAAGGTAGGAGGGTAAAAAACACAGTGAATCACGCTGAGAGAAAAGTTCATGTGTTTGATGGTTTGGGACTGATGGAAAAATAATAGCGTAAACAGACAGGCAGCTACAGTGAATGACATTTTACAGAAGGACAGCTTAGCTCAGCATTGTTCACCAACAGGATGGCAATGCTAACAGTGTGAAAGCAGAGAAAGGAAAAAACAATCACGTGTGCTGTGATTCCAGAAAGTGGTCTCCTAGTTTAGAAGAAATTCAGAGCAAAGTGGGTAGGAAGTAAACACGGAAAAGGAGTCTTTTTGTTGTTCTAAGGCTGCAGGCAAAGATTAGTAGGAGGGTTTAAGAAAACCGTATTATGCAGATCTTTTTATATGGGAGTAAACATCCCAATGACATGCCTCAGGTCTTTCATTAGTGCACTGGAAATATTTCTTACTCGAGTTTTTTCTGACCTGAAACTGTCAAGTTTTGTCAAGTCCCAAGATCCCCTTGGCTCTCTCCCAGTCAGAAATCAGAGGTGTGCGAGTGAGTGTCAGCACACTTTGCATAACTTTCTCTCATTTCCACGTGAGCAGCCATTCAATCAGCTTTCCCAATTAGAGTTCACCTCAGCGTGACAAATCCCAGACCCACGCCACACTGAGGCAACTATTGTCAACTGCAAAGTGTTAGCATTTGGTCTTATAAAAGACGACTTATGTAGGACAGATCATTGGGTCAGTTACTGAACAGCAAGTCAATGGGATTTTTTTTTTTTTTTACATTTTTTAAACTGACTAAATGCCCATATTTGGTTATTTAAAGTGCAACCAATGAGGACAATCTGAAACTTTGAGCAGGGACCCCGGTGTCTTTCACAAGGACACTGCTTCAGGGCTCAGACCATCAAGCCCAAGCTAATGGCCAAAATGAAAGAGCATTACAGTAAACCCAAAATATAGCAAACTAAGTAACACCGGGTTCTGATGTAGAACAATTGTCTGTATTAAAGTCATTTAATTTATAGATATAAATTGAAATTTCATTAAACAATTTAAAAGAAATAATTTAAAAATAACCCCACTTGGGATAAATAAAGTATTCCTTGTTCTTATCAGTATGAGCTATAGCTATAATGGACCTCATAGTGGTCCTTTACCCACTGTCAGCCTGCCAGTTTTCTTACCTGCATGATCCCATATCTAGAAACAAGCTGTTTATTGTTGAAAGGCTTAAAAATAGTAATGTACTTAATACTAGTTTTATAGCTAATCTGTTTCCAGTGTTAAATGTTGTGTCTTTGAGTTGGATCCATTATGTTATTGGATCATAATCACTGACTCACTAATATGTACATAAATTTAATGTTGCAGCCGGAGATGATTTAAATGTCTTTTATTCTGCTGGATATCTTTAGCTATAGTAATAAAGTATCATATGTTAGTAGATTTATGTTAAAATCTGCAAAATAACAAATATAATATGAACCGTCCCAGACAAAATGCAGTGGAGTCAGAGTTAAAACTATAATAAAAAGTTATGTTAGAGCTTAATTAACACAATCTAAGAAACAGTTTTCCTTCCTTTAAATAAAACTATATTATTAAACAGAAACTTCAGTCTCAGTGGAAATAATTAAAAAGTATAGTCTTGGGGACAGATAGCAGAAGGCCTCAGAGCTTTGGAAAGAAAGAGATGATTAGCTGTAAGTAACTACTACATCAGGTCACTGCAAAGGAAATGTCAGCATTTCAATAATGTGCCACTAACACTCGAGTATCTACAAATGCTGAATGAGGATAAAATGAGGCGACATACAGTCTGAATGACTGCAGTTTTTTTATACTAACTGGATAGAGGTCTGTATTCATGTTGGATAATTCCACTCTATTCGGCTTAGGAAGTTTCCCTGCAATGTCAATATGAATAATATTATAAAAGGAGAATTTCAGCAACAACAGAGCACCAAGGACCTGCATTGGTAAACAAACACTTAAAATGCACCAGAATAAAATCATAATACAAATTCAGTGTGTAGCAGGAAAGCAAAACATATTCTTGTATTCATTAATCACCTCGTGAATTATTCCTAGTAACTAATAACTTTCTTACTTTATATACCTCTTGCATGTCCTCTGAGGACAGGAACCTTACAGGGTGCAGCACGAGCAAAGGTTGAAGCACAGAATACGCAACTCCCACAATAGAAAATCTGGAGGCTAAACTTGAACAGAACACAGTTCACATAGAATCTGCCATTCATCACAGGGTCAGTAAGTCCGTTTGTGAAGGTGGGATCATAATAATATTCTGACCAAGGAGAATTTGTTTTAGACAGGAGTAGAGATCAGGAAGAGGTTGATTAATTTTACTGGGTTAAAATGTTTGTGTGAATAAATGTGAGGTGCACAGTGATGAACTGAGAATTTACAAAAGTAAAAGTAATACAAAGGAACAAAAGCAAAACTGAGGAGACGTTTTCTCTATGATGTGTGTGTGTGTGTGTGTGTGTGTGTGTGTATTGATTATTGGTTGCTTCTCAAGCTATAGTGTATGGTGAATAATAGCTATGTACATCAGCAGTATGTAAACAAAGATAATTAGCTTTTGAGGAGACCATACAGATGAAATTGCCAGTCAAACCAGTAGAAAAATATTCTACTTTATCCCCTTGGGGTTAGAGTGCTATAAAATTTAAATATAAGGACGTAAAGGTAAGTCATTGAATGTTGGCGTCAGTATGAATGTTCCCTCACAAAGTGAATTTTCTTCTCTGCAGAACTTTAACTCCGAGAACCCAAACTGTGTTGGCATTGAAGGTGTACTAGAGGCTTACTTTCAGAGCCTGCGAACTGTTCAGCTGTATGGTCCAACCAACTTTGCTCCTGTCATCAACCAAGTGGCTCGGTGAGAGACAAAGCTTTACTCACACACATTCTCTCATTGTAAGACAGAAATATCTTCTCATGCAGGAATACTTTTTACATTCAAACTCACCCAAAGGGCCCATAATAACTTCATATTCAAGTCAATTAAGTTTTATTTATAGCCAAGTTACAACAGTCACCTCGAGGCACTTTACACGAGTATATATATCTTAGTAAGGCAAAGATCCTACAATAACAGAGAGAAAACCCCAACAATCAACACTCTATAGTCAACTGTTAGGGGTATTATAACTAAGTGGACACGATTGGAAATGACACTAATTCAGCCATGAAGTGGAAGGCCACACAGCGGGGGTCAGTGGATGCTGAGGCGCTAACTTCCTGCAGAGCCAATCGGTACAGACCTCTAAACTTCATGTGTCTCCATGGAATCGAGCAGCCAAGCAGCTTCATTTGGGCCTTACATCACCATGGGCAATGAGAAGTGTCAGATGCAGTGGTGTTAAGCACACCGCCACTGGACTCTAGAGCAGTGGAGATGTGTTCTACGGAGTGATCAATCACGCTTTTCTGTGTGGCAATCCGAAGGTATCAGCTGCATGCTAGTTTTGCTAAGTTTTCATGCTTTGTGGTTAAGACTTCTCAGCCTGCTCAGTGGATTAACTGTAGTTCTGCCTATTGTAGATCCCTCACTCTGGTCTCCAGCCTGCTGACCACAGGGGAAGGACACATCTTTCTGTTGCCTGTTGTCACTGCTCAAATATTTATTTACAATTAAAGTTCTTTTAATTGTAGTTTGATAAGTTTATATATTAGCTTATTTACAAATCATAATAGTTTTCATAAAGAGACAAGAACAATGTTATAGAGCTTTTTCTGACAGGTACTTGGATCTGTGATAAACAACAACCCAAATGCTGATTATCAACTACATCCTATACTTATATACTTGTATGTACATTCTATAATAATGAACTTTTACTGAAGTAAAAACAAATAAACAAATGTTTTGAATTAAAATAAACTCTATATAAATGTTTAGTCATTAAAGTGTACAGCACAGCTGGAACTAATTCACTATAATTAAAATCGAACCATTAGTCAACTTATATTTTAAATTTTGCCTTATAGGGTTAGAGATTTAAATGGAGTTCATGGTGAAATATTTGCCTTTGTATAGTTTATCTTTTGATGAATAAATTTAAAAAAATAGCTTTTAAAGAGTGAAAGATTTGTGCAACACGTAACTTGTTTACCAATTCAATTATAGCTGTAATTTCTACGGCTCATTGATGGATGTACCGATTTATCACCGGCTTCACTTTTATACAAAAAAAAATCTTAAAAGCTGAAGGATTCTGAGGCCCCTTTTGAAGCATTTCCATCCACACTCAGAAAAATAAAGGTGCCAACTGGAATTAAAAGTGGTTCTTTAGACTGATGCCATAGAAGAACCTTTTTTGGTGCCACAAAGAACCTTTCAAACAATGGTTCTTTGAAGAACCATTTCTTTCAGTGGTTCATTGAAGAACCTTTAAAGGTGCCCCAAAGAACCATCAAGAAATGGTTTTTCGGGGCACCTTTAACGGTTTTTCAAAGAACCATTTTTAAAAAGGTCCTTCAAATGGTTCTTTAAAAGAACCATTTTAAAGAACCTTTTTTGAGTGGTTCTTTAAAAAACCATTTTAAATCTTTCAAAATAAAATGCATCATAAATTGAATTTGAGTAGGGTAAAAATAAATACGAGCACAGCATAGACATATATTAATGGTTTATTGTCATTTTGTAGTTACCAAAAGACAAAAAGGCATTTTAGCCCTCAGCACAACATCAATACTAATACATGTCACATATTAGTGTTTTAAACAGTAATAATTAAATATATTTGCTATACTATAAATAAATATATATAAATACTATAGCTACAGATAACACAACAAATAATACATGTATTGTTTAATTAATAAAACATCAGAAAGTGATAAAACACATTAGAAATAGCAATAGCTTCATGACAGACCAATAAATCAACACATTTTCATCAGCAGATGTTTGCATGTTCAGTAAAAATATTTCAACAAGTTTATGATTAAAATGATCAATGAACTTTAGCATTACACCATGTAATGTACGTTTCATGTTGTACTCATGGTCCTTTGTTAGTCCAGTTTAGGACAATGTCTCTGACGTATGTTTCATATCAAACATATGTCATATCAAAACAAGCCCACACCTGCAGTTGTTTCAGTTTTTCACTGGTGTTTCCTGTCAGCTGGTCAACCTCTCAGGCGGACATCCATATCAGCCAACCAAACGACAAGCTCCTCCCTTTGTGCTTCAAATCCCTCCCACTCTGAGACAAGGAGCTGAAAGAGAGAGAAAAGAGTCAATTATAAAGAAGAGAGAAAAGTGAAACCCTCCTCAGAAGGTCTGACTCGCATACCTGCAGTTGACCTGTGATGGACTCCAGTTTGGCGTTCACGTCATCCCTCGTCGATGCCAACAGCCGAGTCTGCAGGGTGCCCTGGAAGAGCTGAGTTAATGTTCGACTCCTCCTGGTCAGGCTCTCCAGCTGGATGAGCCGAGGTCTCCCCTCTCGCCGCTGCCTCTGAACACAGAAACACAAATTGCATCTGAAGCAGGAGGTGCAGGTTTTTTTTGCTATTCTTTTCTAAATCCAGGCTAGATCACGTGGAGGTATTTGGAAAACTTTTTTGGCCAGTGGACGACTGTTGTCTTGCAGAAAGTCAAATCAAACATATGCGATACACAATCAATTCACAAGAACACATTATAAAAATAAGTCCAGTTCTTGCCTGATTTCAAATGAATTCTGCATCAAAACAGGGTGACAGAAGTAAAACGAGTGCACAAAGCCTCACTTTGTACCAGCCTGCTATTACAGTTCTCCTCTATGCAGACGACTTTCCTGTTTTCAAGGCACAACTTGGATCTGCTGTACGAATCTTATGGATACACACTAAATGAAACAATAGTGTGCATGACTCCAGATTCTGATCCCTCATCCTAATATGGTCCCAACATAGCAACAGCAATAAAGCAGATGCTGAGGCTAAAAAATACAAAGTCCATAAACCAATGGCTGACGTGGGTTTTATCATAAGGGTGATAAATATACAGATTTCAGTCTGTCTTAGAGATTTGATGTTCATTTACCTGCAGATGCCCTATACGTGCCTGCTCTATGGTTTTTCACAACATTTTGCACATCACTATTTAATACAGGAAGTACGTGAACTAAAACAAGTCATCTTTCTTTGTGAGAGGACCATATTAATGAAACAAACCTCAATGACATCATAGGGATCCCTACAGATGCTCCTGCTGCTTCTCTTCCTCCTCATCCTAAGCTTCCTTCTCCTTGTCCTCGCCTTCCATCCAATTGTAATTCAATCTAATTGTGTTTCTGCCCCTCCTCTTCCCCAGTTTGTTGGAGCTGTGAACACAATTAATGTGAATCTGGATTAATTTGTGCAAACAAGAAAAATCTACAGCTTTTTGGTCAGAGGTGCTCTTGTGATTTAAGCCGGGTAGAGTGGATTTATGTGTTGATGCTACCTGCTTCAGCTCTGGCTGCTGAGTGATATTTACACCCTGGCTGGATTACAAACTTTAACCATGTGCTGAACTTTGGCCCAGCGTTGATACCTCTTGTTAGTATAACGACCTCTTCTTAGCTTGTATGTATGATGGTGGATAAATGAAATATACAAAAAATTAACTATATTACAAAAGAACATCTATCTTGGAAACATCAAATGACTGGAGCATAACTTGTCAACTAGTCCGAAACTAAGTTATGCAGGAACAGTCAAAGACACACCTTCTCATGTCACATTTCTATTCATTTCTATATAATTTGATTAGACAATAAAGAGTTATCTAATCTAATTATTCATTCAAAACTCTTATGCATAGCTGTATTTTATACAGCTCATACAGAATTCAAGGTACAGGTTCATGTGAGTATTTAATGTACGGCTCAGATCTACAGAATTTCAGAGTTTCTAGAGCAGACACAGAGCTCACGTCACAACAGGCTTCAGGCGCCATTTTAGTGACTTTAACAATATATTAAATTTTAATTTCGGTCTAGCTGACATTAGGTTATGTACGCAGCACGCAATTGAACCACATATTTTAGAAGCCAAAGGTTCAAATTAGCTGGGAGCACCTTCACTTAATTATAACAGTGGTTTTGTTAGGAAAACAGTTGGATACTAAATTGCGCTGACCTCAACGGCTAACGTATCTAGCTAATCGCTACTGTTAGCACAACATTAACAGCAAGCTACAATGACGAGTAACAAAAACAAAACAGTAATAAGGTTTTAATGAAAATGTTTTACCTTTTCTAACAGTCCCAGAATCCACAGCTTCAAAGTCCAGCAGGTACTGAAGACTGCTATCCGCCTCGCTGTCACCGTCCGTGAGTTTTTTTCCCGAAAGGTCAAGGCCCGCCGCTCGCACACTCTGTCTGCGCATGCGCATCCCAACGACTGACCCCCTCCGTCCGCTCCCGGGAGGTTATAGTATGACGTGTTCTGACGTCACTCTCTCTCTCCCTGTCATTTATTTGGCTCGAAACGCATATCAACAAATTGCTCAGTGATGAACAACTACTCAGATCAGTTACCTAAGCTGTGCTTTGTCAAAACGAAGTCTGTGTCCATTACACTGACATTCTGTTCTGCAATTGTTATTTACTTGTATTTTATAATTTGACTTTACATACTGCTGGGTGGTTTGTAAAGTTTACAATAACTAGTATTATCATTATACTATATTTTCAAAAATACATAATAATCTCAAAAGTAATGCCTTGGAGTAGAAAATAGTAATGCTTTATTAAAATTTAAAACTAAAGTACAGTACTTGAATGTGTGTATTGTGTCTACTGTTTGCAAATATTTCTAACTTTTATTTGAATATTCAGTTTCCTACCATCTTCTCTTAAAGGGTAATTGCCAGGTATCCCGCCCTCCCCCTTTGCACAC